TTGTAGACCATAAAGTCTCTGAAACAACTATAGAAGCACAAAAGCAGCCAGAGACCATGCATGAACAAAAGGGTATGGCTACATTTCAATAAAACGTTATTTACAAAAATAGGCAGTGTGCTAAATCATGGTCTACTAATTTCTGGTCTAAATACCCCAATTAAAAGGCACAGTTGGGCAGGTGGTGCATGCCTGTCATCCCAGTGACAGGAAGCTGAGGCAGGAAGATCACAAGTTTAAAAGCCAGTCTTGGCAATTTAGCAAGACCCTGTTTCCAAAAATAAATAAATAAATACATAGGTCTTGGCATGTAGCATAGCTCAGTGGTAAAGCACCCTTGGGTTCAATCCCCAGTGCTGAAAAAGAAAAAAAAAATGCTGAAATGTCAGATTGGGCAAGAAAGATAAAAATGAAAGAGTTAACTACATGTCGTTCACTACAAAAACACTTTAATATGATACCCATGATTAAAAGTAAAAGTATATAAAATATATGAACTAAAAGAAGGCTGGAGTACCCATGTGGGATAGTCAAAGTATATTCTAGAGCCAGGGGTGAGGAGAGAGAGGGAGAGAGAGCAAGAGCAAAACTAGAAAGATGGCAGGTGGCCAACCTCACATTACCTTGCCAGACTCCTTGGAACAAGAGGGACCAATAGGACAAGAACAGAAAAGGACTTGGGAGTCTCCTCCCATGAGTACATGCCTTTAGTCCTTGTTACTACACTAGGAACGTCAGATGGAACCAGATAGAGGGGGGATTCCAAGCCATTCTCTCTGAGAGGCGAGAAGGAGTGGCTGCTAAAATTGTGAGCTGAATTGAAATTCCAGTTCCACCACATATCAGCTGACAGTGGTGAGTTTCTCTCTCTTTAGTTAATCTAGAAAGTGATGATACAAAGAGAATATGCCTTACGGGCTTCCCTTGAGGATTACATGAATCCATGTGAAGAATTTAGTACGGTACCTGGCACCTCATAAACAACAAATGTGCACTCTGATGATGACTTTGGTGTGACCATCACCATGGTGTTCTTTTTCTAGGCTCTTTGAAGAAAGTGAAAAAAAAATTATTCTACCCTTGGTGTGCAACGATCTTTAGGTTGACGCAGTGGCTCTCATCCTTGAGGAGTGGCCAATAAAATGCTGTCAGTTGTAAGTACCATTTGGAGTGGCATGATTTAACCTAGGACTAGGGAAATGATGACCTGAAGGTCAGTTCTGCTCACCACTTGTTGCTAAGAATGTTTTTCACATTAAAAAAATATATTTAGTTGTAGACATCACAGTACCTTTATTTTATTTATTTATTTATACCTATGTGGTGCTGAGGATGGAACCCAATGCCAGGAGAGCACTCTGCCCCTGAGCCACTAACCCCTCCCCTGTTTTTCATATCTTTATAAGTGGTTGAACAGAATCAAAGAAAAACATTTTGACACATGAAAATTACATAAAATTCACATATCAGTGTCAATAAATAGACTTTGTGGAATAAAGCCATACTTGTTAATAAGTTAACAAGTATTATCCATTAATTTAATAAGTATTAACCACGGTTGTTTTCAACAGCAAAGTTGAGTTCAACAGAGACTGTGTAGCTCACAGAACCTGAATTTATTATCAGCTCTTTTATAGAAAAAGTTTGCCAACAAACTTGATTTCAACCATTACTGAATTTCCCCTTATATCCAAATGCCCACAAACTCTACACAAACTGCCACCTGAAAGTGCTAACCCAGCAATCCTGTCCACACGGCAGGGCCCCACTCTTTACCTGTGTGGGTTCTGACCTCGGCACGGCAGACTTTCCTTTGCTGGTGTTCATCCTTCTTTGTGCTTGACAACTCTGACTTTCAAGGCCAAGGTCTGATCTTGAGCTTTTAGCAGAGGATGAAAGCTTCTTACTGTGCTGCAGATTTAAGGAGCTTGTAGGGGGGCCCTGGCTTTCCACTGAGCTTTCTGTTGGTGTTTAAGCATGCTCAGCTTTTTATCTGTTTCTGGAAGGTCAACAAAGCCTAGCAGCACCCAGCTGATTTCATTATCTTTTTAGTTCCTATTTCTTCCCAAATCCTCAAACATTTGGTGCAGAGCGTCATCTGACGTGTTCCTTGCCCACTGTCTACCATTCAAACCCGTCACCAACTGAAGTTTTCAGAATTGGACCACCTCATCCCAGTGGCCACCAGCCTGGGGTTCTCACTGCAGGCAGAGCCACCCCAACTCTGAGGCTTCTCCTTTGGACTATTCCTGGTGAACTATTTGTAGTGGTGGGGTCTATCTGTGTTATAGGCCCAGTGAAGGACTTGGCTGAGCATGGGGAACTCTGGCACCAGAATGACCAGTTAGAGTAGTTTCAAGGTGAGCAGCAATGTCCAGGACTGCACACTCATGCCTTGGTCTGTCACTGGATGAGGGGACTTGTCCTTGAGCAAAGCAGCTCTGTGTAGCTCTGGTAATTCCTGGGGACTGAGAGACTCCTGGCAGCAGGAACAGAAAGTCTTTCCTGAAGCAAAACCCAAGTAGCCAGGTCCATCACAGTGTCTACTACATTTGTGAACAATTTAAACATTGAGAGCTAATATTTAAAGGGCTCGTGTGGGCATCTATGATTAAGTGAAATAATGTGTGCAAATTACTTAGAAGAGATCATGGCGTATAGATGTTGAGCACCACGTAGTGGCTTCTTTGATGTTTCTAAAACTTTGAGCAAAGAAGTCTAGTGGTGGTAGGGCTATTACAATAACAGGTGGTGCTGGACTTCAGTGTGTCCATTAACATGCAGAAGGTGATGACCTATGTTACTACTGCGTGATGAAAATTCTTGGTTGGGGAGTATTCTGTCTGACGATACTGGGTTTGGCATGTTCTTCTACAGCTTTATAAAAAGGAGTGCCTTTCACAAACATGTTCAAAGTTAGCTATTTTCACTTCCTAATTGTAAGAACCAGACCCTTCCTTTGGCAGTGGCAGAGTGAGGTGAACAACATAATCGTGCATCTGCTCTTGATTCTGGCACATAGACTGGAATGTGGGGTGAGTGAGTCATTGTGTTAGTCACCTTTCATCACTGTGACCAAAATACCTGACAAGAAGAATAAAGAGAAGGAAAAGTTGATTTGGGCTCCCAGTTCCAGAAGTTTAGTCCATGGTCAGCCAAGTCCAACCCAGCCAAGTTCTGGGCCCAAGATGAGGCAGAACAGCATGGCTGAAGGGTGTGGTGGAGGAAAACTGCTCCCTTCACTGCCCCCAAGGAAGCTGAGGCAGAGGGACAGGGAGGGACCTCAGGGAAGAGTAACCCTTCCAGGGCATACCTCCAATGAACCACCTCCTCCAGCCAAGACCCACCTGCCTACAGTTGCCACCAGTCAGTCCATTCAAACTAGGATGGAATGATAAGGTTACAGCTCCCAGAATCCAATCATCTCACCTCTGAATATTCCTGCATTAACACAGAAGCTTTTGCAGGAATTCTTGCATCCAACTAGTCCGCTCCTCTGGTCTCACTTTCCTATACTTTAAAACGAGAGTGTTGGAACAAGTGTTCTGTAAAGATCCTTTATGATCCTGTGTTTGTGCATGTGGCCTCTTGGCAAACGAGCTTAGGACATTCACAATGCCAACTGCTAGATGCAAGAATCAGATGGATTTTAGAACTAGTTTCACCCCGTCATCATTGTCTTCTTCTCCTTCTCCTTCTGCTTCTTTTCGTGGTACCAGGGATTGAACCCAGGAACGCTTAACCTCTGAGCCCATCCCCAGCCCTTCTTGTTTTTAATTTTGAGACAGGGTCTTGCTTAGTTGCTGCGACTGGCCTTGAGCTTACAATCCTCCCTGCCTCAGCTCCAAACCATTGAAATTACAGGTGGGCACCACCACTCCCGCCCGGCTCACCACTTCTTAATTAAAACCTAAACTTAATTAAAATAGTCATTGAGATTGACCATACCAGATTGCTTGGAGAAAAAAAGCAGTGAGGCTGAGGGATTAATTTCATCCTTATTTTATTTACATCTTACAGAGAACAGCTGTGATATTAGATACCTTAAAGTCACATGCAAGGTGTGAATGATCTGTTTAAAGGGGCAAGACTATGATTTTCTTTCTGGACTCAACTTTTTTACTTTGTAATATTTCAACTAAAAAAAATCATCAGCAACAGGGCGTGGTGGCATACAACCATAATTCCAGTGATTCGGGAGGCTGAAGCAGGAGGATTGCAAGTTCAAGGGCCTGTCTCAAAGTAAAAAAAAAAAAAAAAATTAAAAGGGGTGGAGGACATACTTCTAGGGAGAGTTAGAAGGAAGCTCCATAGGTCAAAGCAAAATAAGTTCTTCAACTGTTTTGTTTTATTTTTACTATTTGGGGCAGTTTTATTGCAAATTCATTGCAAAATTAAGGAATCAGTTTGTGGTGGTGTGACAATGTTACCCACCTGATCTAACAGACCAGTACGAGGAAACTACTGACATGTGTCTCTGCCCACTTCTGCAGCCCAATATAAGACCATAAGAGCAGGGATTCTCTGGGTCCCTACAGGGATGAACTATAAAAGTAGCAATGATCATTTGTCATGAATTGGAGATTTTTTTCAGATCATTTCCCTGAAAAAATCAGGGAAGCTAAGTAATACTATTATCCATCTTTTACAGATGAAATGAGGTCTGAGGGATTAAAAACTTGCTCAAATTCACATAAATCTAAATATTATGTTTTTAGTTGCCTTGCTCATGCTGGTAATATTAGCAGATTTTCACTGCATTTATGCTTACCCAGTACTAGTTACTAGATTTCCACTTTTTATATTTTCCTATAGTGAAAACAGTCCACATCAATGATTTTTCAATATTCCGAAGGAACTAGAAAATTGAGAGAGTTTCTACAGAGGAGCAACTAATTTAATTCTACAACAATATTGTTTTGGATTGTTATTTTTCTTTCAAATATTACATATAAATTAATAAGAGGAAAAAATAACAATACACTTGTTTTAACATGGAATTGTACTCAGCAATGATTTTTTATTTGACAAATGAAAGTTGAATAAATGACAAACGAAAATTCATTATTATTATTTTTTGTTCAGAATCTGTAGTTACAGATTGGAAATTATACAAGGTCACAGCAGCTGGGTGAAACTTGGAAAGCCCTGTCACCCGCTTCTTCAGATGGTTTGACATTAGATACTCAGCTAAATTGTGCTCTGTGTGGCTGGAAAATGACACCTGGCTCTTTAAGAACAGCCAGCCTCATTTGACTTTTCACCTTGACACACTGAAGGTAATGACTGGGAACTCTTCATTTTAAAACTTTCAACTCAGAACCTTTTCTCTGTCCCAACACCTGTGCTTTAGCGATAGACTGAGACCAGAGCCACCTGCATGACTTCAATAGAACACTTTATCAGTTGAAAGAAAACACTTTGAAATAGGGTCTGGCCTAACTTTGAGGTTGGAAGAGATGGTTTTATTTACCTTCCAGTAGAAAGCTATCTACTTTAGATTTGAGAAGAATTAGAGAATTATCTGTTTTGATTTTGACATCAGAAGTGCAGATACTTGGAAAGTGCTTCAAAGCAACTTTGATTATAAGTGAGAATATAAACTATTAAAACAGTGTCTTGACTTAAAAATATTAGGTTGTGCATTCTATTTTAGCAACAAGCCCAAAGCCCTTTTTCCCCCCAATCAAGCACTGTTTCCAGGAAAGAATAATTGAAAATTTAATAATTTTAATTCTGTAAAGATAGTCAATCAGATTATAAAATTACCCTGTTATTAAACATCACTTAAATATGGTTGTTCTTATATCACTATGACCTAGCAAAATAAATAAAAAAATAAACAAGTCCCAATATAAGCTTCTCTCATTATGAGCATATGATTTTTTACCCACAATTAAGAGAACCAAAGATCTAGTCATGGTGGTGCACACCTATAGTCTCAGCCACTAGGAAGGCAGTGGCAGGACGATCAGTTGAGCCAAGAAGTTCAATATCAACTTGGGCAATATAGTGAGGCTCTGCCTCAAAAAAAAAAAGAAAAGAAAAGAAAAAAAAGAGCCAAGATAGCTCTGAGATAGCTCAGATATCAAAACTGGGGCTTCTATAACATTTTTCTGAAAGAAATATGTAGCCGGGCATGGTAGTGTGCACCTGTAATCCCAGCATCTCAGGAGGATCACAAGTTCAAGGGGAGCCTCAGGAACTTGGTCAGTAACTTAGTAACTTAGCAAGACCCTGTCTCAAAGTAAAATATAAAAAAGGGGCTGGGGATGTAGCACAGTGGTTAAGAGCCCCTGTGTTCAATCCCCAGTACAAAACAAAAACAAAAACAAAAACAAAACAAAACAAAAATCCCCCCCAAAACAAAAAGCGATATGCTAATTCAATAATTAAATTCTTGGTTTAGTATTTCATGTATTATCAACTAAGACTACTAATACTATGAAATTATATTCATGTTTGAAAACAGCAATATATACATTTACATTTAAAAGAACACAAGCATTTTTAGACACATTGATCAATCATGAGACCCTTACTTTGCTACAAAACATAAATTCCAAAAGAGTATTTTTACAAAGCTATGGTGACATGATACAACTATCTAATTTAAAAGTAGGGGGAGAAGTTTCAAAGACTCATTATCTTGAGAACACAACAAACACATCACTAACAGCTGCCTGGGCATTTTGAGGGGGTGGGGAGACTTAGATATTTAAATCTGCACATCTTTTACATTTAAAAATCCTTCTATTAATAAGGTATAAACCAGGACCCAGAAATCATGGACTATAATAAGTGAGAATAGACTTGGGCCCAGAGAAAAGTCTCAGAAGACACACAAACTGGGGCAGATGATCTACCTAAGAGTTTCCCTCTGTCTCTTTCCTGACAACAAGGATCTCTCTAGTAATCTGTCCAGCTTCCTCTTTTCTCAGTGTCTCAGCACGGGGCTGAAGGATGTTCAGACTGAGTTGGCAGAAAACATTCATGTTTAAGTGAATTTGGGAGCAAATTAAACTGGATCCTCTCCTGCCCATGGGGACTAGATATATCCTTTAAATTGTTTAGGAAAGAACAGCTCACTTACTGCTGGAGTCACTTCATTTGATGCTGTTCTCAGCCTTTCCCTCTACCTGAGACTCCAACCATATCAAGTGCCAGTTCTTAGTTGGAACAAAACAAAACAGGTCCTGGTGAGTAAGCCCTTGCATAAATCAGGCTGACTTTGTATTCTAGATCAAAGGTCAGCAAATCCTTTCTACAAAAAGCCAGATAGTAATGTTTCAGGCTTTATGGAGCCATACATTCTCTGCAGCAGCTACTCCACTCTGCTGTTATCCAGCAAAAGTAGTCATAGCCTGTAAACAAATGAGTGAGACTATGTTCCAATAAAACTTTATTTACAAAAACAGGCCACAGATTGGCTTTGGCCCTTGGGTTATAGTTTACCCACCCTGGTTCTACATAATAACCACAAATAGTGCCTCTCTTTTGAAACTGCAAAGTGCTTCCTATGGTTCTGGCCAGATTAATGCCCATTGACTCAGGTTTTAGTGCTATAGAGTAAGCAACCAGAGTGCCCAAGGGTTCAGTGTTTATGGTCCCCTGCAGTAAATCAACATGATCAGAAGTTGACAGGAACATGATCGGGCCTGATTCTGTTTCATTTAGAAACCTGAGCATGCAAGTGTTCCTGGCTTTAGCTAATCTTGGAGATGAGGACAATGGCCATTCTGTGGTAGCAGGTGCAAATTTAGAGAAAACTAATAAATAAATTATGGATAACATGGCATTAAGAAGGCTTAAAGGGTCAATGTACTTTCCCAAGGTGCCCAATATAAGTCAGTACTGGGGAATTCACTGCACAAGAAATAGGGACTATCAACTTAAAGGTAAATTTGCTCACATTTGGCTGACAAACCAGAAAACAGAACCAGACTTGTAAAAGTTGTGAGAAGAATAACAACCAAGAATCACAAAATTTCCTACAATTAGAGAACATCTTACCAATTACCCTAACCAGATGGTTTATATTATTAACAGGGGACCAAGGCCCAAGGAAGGAGAGCTAACTTGCCTAAATGAGTTGTTTATGGAGAACTCACCATTTAAGTTCCAATCTGTTGCTATTTGATTAAGCAATCTGATTTTAAAGGTGCCCACTGACTATAAACACTCATGCTATAAGATTATGTTCTAAGTACCCTGGCTACCTCACTTGTCTTTAGAAAAGTTTTCTGTTGGATAAAAGTGACCCCAGAAAACACCTGAAATGTACTGGTGGTGGGGATGGAGGAGAGGGGAGGGGAATGGAAGGCAGCTCATCACTGTTTTAATGTAGCTGACAAAAAATGCACAGGATAAAGCATTAAATGGCCATCTTCCCAGGAGTATAAGTGCTGATCTCTCATGTTGTATGATAACATGGCAAGAACAGACTGGGAAGTTCTCAAATCAAAGTTTGCATTAATCTGTTTCTCTCCTAACAAATCGAAGGCGAATGTGATCCTTGTATCTTTGGTATCTGTGACGTAGAGGATTCCCCGAGCTATGAAGGCATTACCGGCCTTGGACTTGGGGTACGTGGTATTGATGTGCTGCACCACTGAGAAGGTTCTCTCGTCCAGCTGTGCTACAACAATGCTCGAGCCATCCACACTTGAGGCATAGATGATCCAGAGGCCCTTTTCATCTACAGCTAGGTTGAAGTAAGTCTTGGAATTTGCAAAAAGGTATTTCCGATCAAAATACAAGGCATTTTCGAGCTTCAGAATTTGGGATGTTTCTTTGCCAAATTCAAATCTGAAATGTGTACAAACAACAACAACAACAAAATAGATCTAAGTTACCATTTCTGTGGGAAAAGGTGGTTTTGTGAAATGCCTTAAACTGAGCTAGTAGACCTGGGGTGGGGCCTGGGATTCTGCATTGCTAACAAGCTCCAGGTAATGCCTGTTCTGCTGGTCCTTTTGCAACTCTGTGGGCAGCTAGGATGTAAAGGACAGTGACTAGCCTGTGCTAGCCAAAGAAGCAGGGAGGCAGCAGTATAGGGTCAGGGACAATCCTCCCTGGAGTCAGAATGAATTCACATTTAAGCAACTACTTACTAGCCATGTGACCCTGGGAAAACCACTTAACCTTGCTCATCTTCAGGTGTATGGATTCCAACTGTCTTCTCAAAGGTTCTCAAAGCTACAAGGGCCTGTAAAGATGACCTAGTTTGATCCTTTCATTATAAAAGAAAAAGGAAAAGATGAGTCCACAAATAGAAGTAGTAGAGCCACAGTGGGAACTTAGGATTTTTTTCTAACTCCAAGTTTGCTAGTTATTCCTTACTTCCTGCTGGAATTTTTTTTTAATCCATATTATTTTAAATTAAAAGTCTCCAGCTGAGAAGAGATGTAGCAATGTCAGGGCTGTGATGCCAATCTTTTTTGTCAGGTAAGTGGCTGAAAAATTAAACTGTGGCATGGAATCCCATGCCCCTTAACTCCCAGGGGCTGATTTGACAGGCTTTGTTTTGACAAATCTAGATGACTCAAAAACATGTATAATGATTAAAAAATGACCTCAATTCAGAAATAACAACGCAGTGACGTTAGGCTAAAATAAAACACCAGAGGGTGCCATTGAGCAGCACAGGAATATTGGTGTGTGTGCATCTGTGGATATAATCCCTGGGGAGAGCAGGAGGACTCAGGCGCTGCCTGGGGCACAGTCTCCCTTAGTCTCCCCTTCCCCTTGGGAAAGCAGAGGGAGGAGGTAAGCTGAGCTGGGGTGGTTGTGAGGATCCATAGGTGTGACCAGTGGATCTGAAGGCAGAGATGCCTGACTTTGAAAGGCTGCGTCCCTAGTCTTCAGTGATCTCAATTGTGACATGAAATTCCTCACACCCCAAATTTTTCAAAACAAAACTGATGCCTCCAGGGAGTGACACCTGGAGGGAGCTACAAGTTCATCCAAGGATGAGGAAGTGCAGATGTTACTACTCATGGCCCCTCCACCTTGCCTCAGCCCCCCATCCCCACCCCTCCCCGTGTCCAGACCAGCAATTAGTATAAACCCGAGGCAGGGGCTTGGATAGAGAGCTCTGTCATTGTCCTATGATGCATTCAGTCAACAAACCCTGATTGATCTCCCTTGTGTGCCAGCCTGAGGGTCATAAAGATGAAAAAGACACAGTCCCCACTCCTAAGGTCATCAGAGTACCACACAGTAGGTGCTCTCTAGGGTGCAGTAAAAGGGCATGGAGGACAGAGCTGAGGTCCAGGTGGCTCACCTCACTATGGTGTTGGAGCCCCCTTTGTGGTAGTAGAGAGAGTTGTTGTAAACAGCATGCCCACAACCGTGGAAGTAGTGCGGGAGGTGGATGAAGGTGTAACTGCCGTTCAGAAGGGAGGGCCAGTCTTTGAACTCCTTCACCATGATGCCTGCAGGGGGAAAGCCAGGGGAAGGCGATTACCTACCTCCAGCAACCACAGCTGGGGAGTGAGTCTGGGAGGATCTTAAAAGGAGGGAAGGTAAGAGCAACATGTGTCCTAAGGTCTCTTGTCCAGTTTGAAGAGTTGAGACTCCCAAAGTCCAGCTCTCCCTATCGGTTCCTGACAAATCATTCAGATATGGTCATCATAGAATTGGTTTGGCTCCTCCAGAGAGGCCCTGTCCTCCTTCCCCACCCCTCTCTCTAATGTTTATAAATCTTCTTTGGTATTACAAATAGGACTCAGGGCATTTTACCCTAAATTACATCCTCAGTCTTTTTTATTTCTTATTTTTAGACAGGGTCTTGCTAGGTTGCTGAGGGTCTCACTAAGTTGCTGAGGCTGGCCTTGAACTCGAGATCCTCCTATCTCAGCTTCCTGAGTTGCTGGGGTTACAGGCATGCGCCACCATGCCTGGCCTAGTGTTTATAAAATATTCTATTGAGCAGCAAAAGTCTATACCAGAAATAGCAAATACTTGGCATTTGTGGATGGACTTCTCACAGCCTCCTGCCTTTTCCTGCATGCCACAACAGTTACTGCTAATGTCTTTTAAGCCTCAAATCTTTCTCAACTGGTAATTTGGACAGTTACTACTGGCTGACCAGTTAGCCCTGAGGAAATAAAGAAGCTGTTTCTTTTCAGCTCCTTCTCTAATGAGTGCATATGGCGGGACACATTCTGGAATGAGGCCATTTTTATAGGCAATGTGTGACCACATTCCATTAGATCAGCATGACTAGGGTCAAAATTAGATGAAGTGTGACTGCAGGATGGTCCTGTACCTTCTCCCTTGGTCCACCAGATATCTGAGAAAAATGGCCAAGAAGTATTCTCCTGAATGGTACAAACCTAGAGAAAGATGGAGGTGCACAAAGAATTTGCCTCTGACATTTCTTCCACATTATGGATTTGGGGATTATAAGGCCTACAGTCATCATGTTGTTGTATCCTTTCAGATACTTTGCCTACAATTGGACAGGCTACATTGCCCGGTTGTGTCCCTGTGACTAGGACTGCAAGGCTCTCCAACCAGCATGTTCAAGGGAGGTATGTATTCTGACCCCTGACTGTACTTTCTGAAATAAGGAGCAATTAGTATACCAATAATAGCAGGGATTTCAGAAACAGAAGTAGAATAAGCCTGAAGGTAAGTGACAGATGAAAATACAATTACAGCAGGTTTGGATCCTCTGTTGATGAAAGTACCTGAAAAATGTTCAGTCACCCAGATACGGTCATCACTCTTATTAGCAGACTCTCTTATCCAAGTCCCAAATGTCTCTGTAACCTTTAATATTTGTGTTGGGTTTCCAATGGCAGTGATCATGGAATCTGCCAGAAGAAGAAAAAGGAAAGTTACCTGCCAATTATGACTTTAATTTTTAAATTTCAAGACATATTTTTTTTTCCTCATGGCTAGGGATTGAACCCAGAGCCTTGCACATGCTAGACAAGTGCCCTACCACTGAGCTACGCCCCTTGCCCAGGAAGCTTTGTCGGTGTACCTGCTTGAGGGGAATGGTGTTCATTGACTTTCTCATCAGCTTTTCCCACCAAGGTATCATCGTTTGGTATGGCACACGTCTCACCTAAAACAACAACAACAGCAATAATAATAATCAAAGCAAATGCAGTTGGCACAGTTTTAGAACTGCTGCTTTTCCCTACCTCATTCCAGATGCTAGTTCCATAAACATCCCTTAGACTATGTCCACCAAGTTTCTTGTTTGCTTGTTTTTTAAAATATATATTTTTAGTTGTAGTTGGACACAATGACTTTATTTTATTTATTTATCTTTGTGCGCCACCATACCTGGCCTAGTGTTTATAAAATATTCTATTGAGCAGCATAGGTCTATACCAGAAATAGCAAATACTTATCTTTGTGTGGTGCTGAGGATCAAACCCAGTGCCTTGCAAGTGCTAGGTGAGCGCTCTACTGCTGAGCCACAACTCCAGCCCCTTGTTTGCTTATTCTTAAAAAAACCCTAGCTGTTATACTTTTAATTTCCTCCCCTGCTTGATGAGTTCCCAGCAAGCTTTCGATGACCACAGTTACTAAGATAATACAATTCTAATAGGATGTCTAATAGGAACAAGGCTGCTGCAGTTCAGCATCGTGATAACTGCTAGGCAGTTATGATCAGCCTCCATTTATTGAGGGGAGGAGCAGTGACTTCTTTGAAAGCCAGATTTGTCCCCTCTAACAGCTGAGTGCCTCTCCCTGACATGTCTCCTGGAAAGAGCAGTTTACCAAATAGAACATGGGCCCTTCAGGGAAATCTGAGAGAAATTCCAGTCAGGATCCTCCTCAAAGTCAGCCACTGCAGTCACGGTATTCAGTTGTGCCTTCTCGCAGTTTAAGTTAGGTGATTCTCCCTGGGTCACCTCTTTACAGAAAAAATTCTAAGGCCACCCTAAAAATACTTCCCACTAATGTGGTCCTTGATTTTTAGTTAGCCTTCTATCCCACAGCCACCGCTACCACAAATTAGCTGAAGAATGAGTTCTCGGGGCCTGCCAGAGGTCAGGCCTGGGTCAGGTCCCAAAGCGTGTCTTTCCATCTGTGAAAGGGCAACAGTCTGAGAGGGGGAAGCTCTACAGCTAGACAAGACTGGATTTGAATCATAGCTCTGCCACTTACTCATTGTGTGACCTTGGGCAAGTTACTTAGCTCCTCAGGTGGCAGTTATGTATCTGTTAGTGGGAGACAATAACGATGCCAATATCACAGGATGGTTGGAGAATTAGGAGAACTAAGCGCTTGGCACCATGCCTGCACATCACTAGTGCTCAAAAATTACTGGTGGAGCATTGTTAACCAAATACTAAAAAATAGTAATAAGAAGACAAACTATTGCGACAACAACAACAAAAAATTAGTAGTGGAGGGGTTGGGGGTAGCTCAGTGGTAGAGTGCCTGCGTGAGGCCCAGGGTAAGATCTTCCACACTGAAATACTGAAACACACACACACACACACACACACATCAGTGTGGTGGGGATGGTAGTTCTATTGTTAATGTGTGTGCAGGGTTAACCAATCTGATTGCCCCTTGATCTCCCGAGCATCAGCCAAGCCCTTCTTCTCCCATGAGTTTGTGGCTACATAAAGCTAAGTCCTCAAGACCACTTGGGGGAGAGGGATGATAGATATGGCAAGGAGGAGGAACAGTCTGGTGGTAAGTGAAGGTAAAAGATGAGGGAAATAGGTGGAGGCTCAATTCTAGGCCTTTCTCTGTCCTCTTTCCCAGGGCAGATGGCTTAGATCTTCCATGAGCATGTCTCAAAGGGAGAGCTCCCATTCAGGGCAACTCTACCCCCTCAGTTTTAAACAATCTGGTCACCTAGATTGGGATGCAGATCAAGAATTTAGGGTCATTAGTGGAAGGGGTTGGTGACCTGCACATTGGCCATTGAACATGTTTGGCTGCCGAAGGCCTTTGGATCTTCTGCTTCCAGGAGGCCCAGGAGGTCCTGGAGGGCCTGGGGGTCCAGGGGGCCCAGGTGGGCCTTGGTCACCTTTGGCACCTGCAAAGACAGAGAAGAAGTGAGGGAGATAGAGAAGGAAGAGGGAGAACAATTGATAAAGAGTTACCAACAGAGATTGGGTTTCACATGGGGGGCCCACTGAGCTCACCCCTTCCCAGAGATGATCAACTTAGCACTTATCTCTGCTGAGTTGAGGAGCCACCATAGTAGGTATTGAGGACCCACTATGTGCCAGGAATTGTGCTAAGAGTCTTACAGATCTCCACCTCAGTCTCCCAAACCACTCCTCTCAGAAGCTGGAGTCTCAGGGATGCTGAGTGATCTGCTGAGGTCACCGCCTGCAGACAGCAGGAACTCAGCTTCAGCTGTCACGGCATAGCTCCTCCTTTGAACAGGCTCATGTCAGTGGGTCTCAGCCCTGACTGCTTGGTGGGACACGGAAAATGATGTAGGAAATTCTGAAGCCTGGGCCCCATCCTGACTAATCAGAATGTTGGGAGCAGGTTGGCCTCTGTATTTTTAAAAGCTTCCTCATATGCAGCCAGGTATGAGAGGTGCTGCTGTGTGAGGGAGATGAACCAGGAGCTCCTTCAGCTCTGCTTCTATTCAGCTTTGTGACTTTTTAAACCCTTCTGAGAGCCATTTCTTCGTCTCCACATTGTCTCAAAGTCCCTGCCCTGCCCTGTAAGAATCAATGAGGTCACTGCTATGATGATTTGACAGCTGTAATCTTGCCCACGGATAGGCAGTCACACCTTGGTCTATAGACGGTCAGCGAGAGTGGTTGCCCTTTGCAGGGGTCATTGGTTCTGGAGAATTCATAAAGATGCCCCTCTCTGGGCTGTTCAGCCCTTTTGTTCTAACCTCCAGGGTTGAGACTGGAGAGATCAAGTCTATTTAGCTGCCTCTTCCCAGCCAGACCACGTCAGCCTTTTCAATCTTTCTGGAGTGAACAAGTGGGGGACACCGGGGCTGCAGATGGGTCTATGACCACTGTGGAAGGGGCAGAGATCTCTAGGTAGAATGGACCTGATCCAATCCTCCTGCCCCTTCTCTACTCCACTGAGGGTGCACTGAGTTCTGTCCTATCCCTTTTGCATTGGGTAGAAGGATGGTGCTTTTCTGAATAAAAGGTTTGTCACCCCTCACTTATTCAGCAGTGTAGAGAATTCTGGATGTGTAGATTTTCTGTGTGACTGAAATGTAACATGATCTTATGGTTTCAAATACATGTATTTACATATACGACCCTTTCAGACCCTCCTTAAAGTTTACATGTTGTGCCTAGCAACACCCCTTGTTTATAAAACAAAGTATGTTAAACATAACTTGATCTTCCCCTGGTGCTTTGGCCTTTCGCCTGGCGAAAAGTAGGCATTCGATCCATTGTGCCTGGGTGGCTGTCTGTCTGGCTGTGCAACTGACTTGGGGTCATTATTGTGAATATTTATTACCATCCTAGCTTCTTGAGGACAGATACTGTGCCTTGCTTACTTTCATATTCATAGTTTTAGCAACTGGCAGAGTTCTTGATTCATGGATGGTATTCTCAGATACTCAATAAATGTGTATTGAGTGCATTAGTAGAAAGTTATGTTTTCATGATATAGATGGTTTCCAAAGTACTGTGATTTCAAAATTCTTCTGCATCTCCTCCTCCATGACAATCAGCTCCTTCTATCATGTGATTATCTTTGGGGTGCTGCCCCTAAGCTTCCTTCTACACAAGTGCTGGCTATCACTTTCAATCTGGACTAGAAAATCAGCCACTGACTTTTGCCCAAATTCTCTGTCAAGTGGTTTATATGGCTATAGCTTGACTGTGAAGAAAATGCTTGTGACCTCTGTCAATTGTCCCTGGAAGTCTCTAGAGTGGCTTACTTACTTGTTGCTGGATTTCAATAGATATTTGGAAAAGGGAAACTTCCTTCAACCCATTCAATCTAACTATGGCTTTTAGACCTAAGTTATTTAAATGACTCATACTTAGATCTCAGATCTGGTCTTGCCCACATGGAGAAACAGGTACCGCTTTCTCCTCTTTGAAAGTACAGAATTCCAGAATCTGCTGCAAAACAGAGGACAATGGAAGGACAATAAAGAGAGAGGACACAGAATAACAGTTGAACTGAAAGCCAGCGAGGTCTCTGAGCATGTGTGCCCTTGAAGGGAGCCAGAGAGCACTCCTCCTACCTGCCAGCAGTAAATCGTTGGACACATCTCCTTTGTCTCCTTTTTCACCCTTCTGTCCTGGTGGGCCCTCATTTCCTGGTGAGCCCAGTTCGCCAGGGTCTCCCTTTTCTCCCTTTTCCCCTGGATTTCCTGTGGCTCCAGGAAGCCCTGAGGGAAAGGAAATGACATATTAGCCTGTTGTGCAATAGATTCCGGGTACACCACTTTGCAAAAATTGTACTTTATCCTTTTGGGGTAAAGCAGCTCTGAATCAAATCATAGAGCTGAATAGAATCCTTCATAGCCATTTTAAGGCAGAAAAATGGCTGTATATACACTAAAGAATTGTGTGGGTGTGTGTGACCATGGGCACACTGCAGATTGAACCCAGAGGTGCTTTACCACTGAGCCACATCCCTGACCCCTTTCAGTTTTTATTTTGAGACAGGATCTCCCTAGGTTGCTGAGGGCCTGACTAAGTTGCTAAGGCTGGCTTTGAACTTTCAATCCTCCTGCCTCAGGCTCCCAGATCGCTGGGATTATAGGCATGCACCACCACTCCCAGCTTGCTAGAAATTTGGCTGGGCCAACAGGTTAGAGAGAGGAGGGAAGCACAAGAGGGACAATTACTATAGGAGAAAGAAGGTGAGGAAGGTCAAACTAGAAGTCTGGCACCATCCCCACAGCAGATGAAGAGGATCCACAGAGGCATGTGCCCTGGACAAATGCAAAATGCTTCTACTCACAATAGCAAAACAGGTGAAGTTGTATAGGATGACTAATGGGGTGAATAAAAGATAGTGGGTGAAATTTCTGCTTTTACTTATGGAGAGCCATGACTTTAGGAATTACCATCCTCTCACACACAACTAGAAGTCTTTCAAGATCTGAGTGACAATATGTCTTCGCATAGACCATGGACAGGACAGGGCACCCTAGATCATTCCAGCTTACTGCTGGGAAGTAATTCCCAGTAGCACAGGGAGGGAAAAACCAAAACAGAGCATAGCAAAATCCCTGAGTTGAGTAAAGCATCAGTTTGGGGAGATGGACATGGCTAGAATTTGCTAGATAGGACAGCAGAGAGGAGAGAGCTGTGTTGTAGAAAATTACAGAGAAAACAACATGGACAGTGTCCCGCGGTGAGTGGTGGCCAGTACGCAGAGCATTTGTGGCCGCAATGTGAGAAAGTTTTGAGGGAATAAAGGCAGATCTAAACCAAACCCTTCTCAAACACCCGTGAAACTGCGCAAGCCATCAAGGGTATGCATATCCGAAAAGCCACCAAGTACCTGAAAGATGTCACATTAAAGAAGCAATGCGTGCCATTCCGGCGTTACAATGGTGGAGTTGGGAGGTGTGCCCAGGCCAAACAGTGGGGCTGGACATAGGGCCGGTGGCCCAAAAAGAGTGCTGAATTTTTGCTGCACATGCTTAAAAATGCAGGGAGTAATGCTGAACTTAAGGGTTTAGATGTAGATTCTCTGGTCATTGAACATATCCAGGTCAACAAAGCACCCAAGATGCGTCGTCGTACTCTGCGTGACCCCAATTGGAGAGGGGGCGGAGCGGAGCCGCCACCCGCACCCGCAAGGTGGGCAGACCCGCGACCCAGTGGTACATGGGCGTGGTAGGAGGGGCAGGGCAGAGCCGCCGTTCGCGCTTGCAAGGTAAACAGACCTGTGACAGCCTGGCGGGTCAGGCCCAGTGGCCTGCCAGTGTGGTACACACGTCACCCCAACTGGAGTAGGGGCAGAGCAGATCCTTCTCCCACGCCCGGATCAGGCCCTGCTGGTGTGGTGGTCACGTGACCCCAATTGGAGTGGGGGCGGAGCGGAACCGCCACCCGTGCCCGCAGGGTGAGCAGACCTGTGACCAACCTGCAGATCAGGCCCAGGGGTCCGCAGGCGTGGTAGGAGGGGCAGGGCAGATCCGCCGCCCGCGCCTCCAAGGTAGGCAGACCTGCAACAGACCGGCGGATCAGGCCCAGGAGCCTGCCGGTGTGGTACACACACCACCCTAATTGGAGTAGGGGCAGAGCAGAGTCGCCGCCCATGCCAGGAACAGGCCCAGCGTCCTGCAGGCGGGGTAGTCACGACACCCCAATTGGAGTAGGGGCAGAGCAGAGCCTCCACCCGTGCCCGAAAGGTGGGCAGATCTGCGACCGACCAGCAGGACAGGCCCAGTGGCCTGCTGGTATGACAGACACGTCACCCCATTTGGAGTAGGGGCAGAGTAGAGCCGCCGCCCGCGCCTGCAGGGTAGGCAAACCTGCAACCGACCGGCCGATCAGGCCCAGTGGCCTGCCGGCGTGGTACACTTGTCACCCCAATTGGAGTAGCGGCAGAACAGAGCCGCCGCCAGCGCCCAGAACAGGCCCAGTGACCTGCCGGCGTGGTAGCCACGACACCCCAATTGGAATAAGGAGAGAGCAGAGCCGCCGCCCGCACCTGCAGGAAAGATACGCAAGCAGTATGAAAAGACAAGGAAAGAAAGGACCACAAGCAATGCAGGTCAACGCAACTTTAGAAGAGGTAACAGCTGCAGCAGATGGAATGTCAGATAAAGAATTCAGGATATACATGCTTCAGATGATCTGGAGTATCAAGGAAGACATTAAACAGCAAAATCAGACAATAAAAGATCACTTCGACAATGAATTACGCAAACAAATCCAGGAAGCAAAGGATCAACTATACAGGGAGATAGAGGTTATAAAAAACAAACAAACAGAAATCCTAGAAATGCAGGAAGCAATAAACCAACATAAAAACTCAATGGAGAATACTACCAGCAGAGTAGAACACTTAGAAGATAGAACATCAGACAATGAAGACAAAGTATTTCAACTGGAAAAGAACATAGACAGCTCAGCAAGACTGTTAAGAAACCATGAGCAGAACATCCAAGAAATATGGGATAACATTAAGAGACCAAACTTAAGAGTCATTGGGATACACGAAGGTACAGAGCTCCAAACCAAAGGAATGAGCAGTCTATTCAATGAAATAATACGAGAAAACTTCCCAGACTTGAAGAATGAGACAGAATCCCAAATCCTAGAAGCCTACAGGACGCCGAATGTGCAAAATCATAAGAGATCCACACCTAGACACATTATAATGAAGATGCCCAACATACAGAATAAGGAGAGAATTTTAAAAGCTACAAGAGAAAGGAAGCAGATGACATTTAGGGGTAAGCCAATCAGGATAACAGCTGATCTTTCAACACAGACTCTGAAAGCTAGAAGATCCTGGAATAACATATTTCAAACACTGAAAGAAAATGGGTTCCAACCAAGAATTGTGTATCCAGGGAAATTAAGCTTCAGGATGGAAGATGAAATTAAAACCTTCCACGATAAACAAAAGTTAAAAGAATTTGCAGCTAGAAAACCATCTCTTCAAAACATCCTCGCCAAAGCACTACAGGAAGAGGAAATGGAAATTAACAATGAAAACCAACAGTGGGAGGTAGGACAGTAAAGGGGGGAAAATAATCAAAGAGGAAAACAAACCATGTTTAGTAACAGAAATAAACAAATATGGCTGGAAGAACAACCCATATCTCAATAATAACCCTAAATGTTAATGGCTTAAACTCACCAATTAAGAGACATAGGCTAGTAGAATGGATCACAAAACAAGACCCAAAAATATGCTGCCTACAGGAGACGCATTTGATAGGAAAAGACATACATAGGCTGAAGGTGAAAGGTTGGGAAAAATCATATCACTCATATGGACTTCGGAAACAAGCAGGAGTGTCCATACTCATATCAAATAAAATAGATTTCAAGCCAAAGTTAATCAAAAGGGATAAAGAGGGACACTACATACTGCTTAAGGGAACCATACACCAACAAGACATAACAATCATAAATATTTATGCCCCAAACAATGGTGCAGCTATGTTCATCAAACAAACTCTTCTCAAGTTCAAGAGTCTAATAGACCACCATACCATTATCATGGGAGACTTCAACACACCTCTATCGCCACTGGACAGATCTTCCAAACAAAAGTTGAATAAGGAAACTATAGAACTCAATAACACTATTAATAACCTAGACCTAATTGACATATATAGAGTATACCACCCAACATCAAGCAGTTACACTTTTTTCTCAGCAGCACATGGATCCTTCTCAAAAATAGATCATATATTATGTCACAGGGCAACTCTTAGACAATATAAAGGAGTAGAGATAATACCATGCATCTTATCTGATCATAATGGAATGAAACTGAAAATCAACGATAAAAGAAGGAAGGAAAAAGCATACATCACTTGGAGAATGAACAATAGGTTACTGAATGATCAATGGGTTATAGAAGACATCAAGGAGGAAATTAAAAAATTCTTAGAGATAAATGAAAACACAGACACAACATATCGGAATCTATGGGACACATTGAAAGCAGTTCTAAGAGGAAAATTCATTGCTTGGAGTTCATTCTTTAAAAAAAGAAAAAACCAAAAAATAAATTATCTCATACTTCATCTCAAAATCCTTGAAAAAGAAGAGCAAAACAACAGCAAAAGAAGTAGAAGGCAAGAAATAATTAAAATCAGAGCTGAAATTAATGAAATCGAAACAAAAGAAACAATTGAAAAAATTGACAAAACTAAAAGTTGGTTCTTTGAAAAAATAAACTAAATTGACAGACCCTTAGCGATGCTATCGAAGAGAAGAAGAGAGAGAACTCAAATTACTAGCATATGGGATGAAAAAGGCAATATCACAACAGACACTTCAGAAATACAGAAGATAATCAAAAACTATTTTGAATCCTTATACTCCAATAAATTAGAAGATAGTGAAGGCATAGATAAATTTCTTAAGTCATATGATCTGCCCAGATTGAGTCAGGAGGATATAGAAAACCTAAACAGACCAATATCAATTGAGGAAATAGAAGAAACCATAAAAAGACTACCAACTAAGAAAAGCCCAGGACCGGATGGGTATACAGAAGAATTTTACAACACCTTTAAAGAAGAACTAATACCAATACTTTTCAAGCTACTTCAGGAAATAGAAAAGGAGGGAGAACTTCCAAATTCATTTTATGAGGCCAACATCACCCTGATTCCTAAACCAGACAAAGCACTTCAAAGAAAGTAAACTACAGACCAATATCTCTAATGAACCTAGATGCAAA